CCCCCCCCCCCTCCCCCCCCCTCCAACTCACTCTGGATCCGCCACTGGGTCAAATCCTTATTGGAGAGAAAAAGGGATCGAATGGTAAATGCTTCATTAATCAGCTCGATCATACAAACACTGAAAAAAAAAACACATTGGATCTAGAGTCCAGACCCTTAAAAACATCGACAAGAAAAAATACTATTGATTCAATCAGATTTAAGCTTAAATCGAAAGAAAATCCGCTCAAATTAAAAGGCTTGGTTCTTGATTTAAGCAAAAATCCGATTGAATCAAGAGTATTTTTTCTTGTTGATTTTTTTGGACTCTAGTAGTATGGGGGGAGTATGGACTCTAGATCCAATGTGTTTTTTTTCCAGTGTACTAAACTTTTTACATTTTTTTCCGTAATGAAGGTCCTAACGATGATGATCGGCATATTGGTGAAACTGGATTTCAATGAATTTGTCATATACACCGACGCACGGTTGGCGAACGGTGCAAACAGGTCGATCGACGCAGAGGAAGAAAGCCCAGCTTCCGCCGGCACCTAGCAGCTCGGCGCTTATCCTAACCTACTTCCGAGTGCCCTTGCACTTCGCGCTCGTTTAGTCGCATGCCCTCCAGTGGCGTCGCGTGCTTTGCGATATATCGATTGATGTGCCGTTTAAATCCATTGAAAAGAATCGATAAACAGGGTGATCGCAACGGACACCTTAATAATCGATTCCTTACCATAGCTTCAAATGGGGAAATATTGATGATCGATCGTTCACGCCTCGCCACTGATGCCCTCGTTGGTTAAATCGACGGAATCCGCACACAAAACCGTAAAAGCAGATTGTGAAGCTTAATGACCGCTTTTGATGTAACATTTGTAGTCGTTCGTTCGTTAATTAATTAATAAAAATAACGATGTGTTGGAGCTAACCACAACCGGACTAACTGCATACATCAGATGTTGCCGGATATCCTCTCATTTTTTATTTTTTCGATCGGCAGCCTAGAAAATTTGACTTGAAATTTTTATGAGTTGACGTTTTCTTTAATCCAGGGGGGGGGGTGTCTTAGATAATTTCAAAGAATTGTTATTAAAAATACGAAATACGAGAGGAAACGAAGCAACATATATATTATAGCCTGCAATTAGGCTGATTCTTACATCGTCACCTTCCAGCCAAAATAACACAAGCTCCATGCGACGTTTCAAAATTTTCACCGCAATTTTATCTTTTACAGAGCAATGGAGAATTTGCACACAAAGATTGTATTGCTTCATCTGAGAGTGCCTAATGAGCTGAGTTTGCAGTATTTTCCATAATTTTTTCTGACGTGGGAAATTGTTGAAAAATTGATTTTAAAGTGAGAAAATTTGCTGCCTTGTGACGTCGTCTGACGGCATTTTCCATTGAAACACATGTACTTTAACAGATAAGGTTATTTTGTCATATTTTCTCTGATAATTGCCCAATTTAGAAACCAAGGATATCCTCGTACTCAGTTTTACTTGCAGTATCATTTTAAAGATAAAATTTACAACATTTTAGACACCCTATTATTGGCTGAATCTGTTTGAAAATTTCACTGAATTTTATCGGCAGCACAAAGAAAATTTACCGAAATATTCAGACAGCTTCGTTGGACTATTTCTCTGTAGAAAAATTAAATAGCGGCGGAAATTTTCAAACGTCGCCGCCTGGTGCTTGTGATACTCTGGCCGGAAGGTGACGATATGATTATGGAAGAATGCATCCATGTATGAACTTCAGAATTTCTGAAAATCAAAGGCCAGAAGACGTCTCCACCAGGACATGTGAACTCAAACCAGTAAATTGGTGGAGGCGGGTTCTTTTGATTGACTTTGTGTTGAGCACACCTCGTCCTCAAAGATTGTATAATCGTATAAAATGTTTTAAATTGTTTAACACGGCGATTCTATCGGGAAAACTTTGTCCTCTTATGATAGCACCCTGTTGTCAGCAACTGCTGCCACTCATTTTGCCTATCCTCAGTATGAAGGCGAACTGCTCGTAATGAGGGCGGCGCAGTGTTGTAATCTGTGCAGTACACTGGTAATTTATATGAGGACCTAGTGAAGGAAGTAGACTGTTTCAAGCAACTTTTACGGCTCCAAAGCTGTTCATTTTACCTATCCACATTATAAAAGCGAACTTTTTGAAATGAAGGAGGCATTATATATAATCAAAGCGTAACACTGGTCATTCTTATGTGACTCGAGTGAACAGTGCGGACTGTTTCAAGCAACTTTCGCGCCTCCGAAGCCGCTCACTTTGCCTATCCATAGTTTGAAGGCGAATTGATTGAAATGTGGACCACCTGATGTGTGCTGTAAAGCACTTACAATTAGCTCGTTATTGATAATAGCGTGTTTTTTTGTTGTTGCAGATGCGAAGGAGTTCTGCTGCGACGACACGCAGCTACAGACTCTGAGTACGAACGTGAAAATAGTCTCGAGTTTCTTGAACCGATGTCCAAGTTGCATGAGCTCGTTCATGGAGGGCATTTGCGCCATCGCTTGCAGCCCCGTCCAAGCGCAGTTCATCAACGTGACGCGCACACAGCCCGCTTCACCCTCGAAGCCCGGTAAGTCCACCACCGTTTCAGTTACTTAAAATTAATAACACGTATTTAGGAATTTAAAATAGGACTAGAAAAGGCGAGGACGGGGCTGAAAAAACACAATAAGTTACAAAATACGGGACGTTTCGACCGGTCTCCCGGTCATTATCAACCGTCGTAAAAGAAGTAAAAAATAAAAAAAAAACAAAAGCTAAAAAACCATGTTACTGGTCCTTGGTCATCCAACGTCCCACATTTTGTAACTTATTATGTTTTTTCAGTCTCGTCCCCGCCTTTTCTTGTCCTATTTTATATTTATGTTCTCGGGCTGCCATAGTGTACATTTATCCACATTTAGGGATATAGATTTATGAGAAAACAGAAAAAATTCAAGGCATATTGTGCGGTTCAAAGTAAAAAAAAAAAAAAAAAAAAGGAACCACACGTGCTCTGAATTTCTAGTGTTTTGGGACAATATGCTTTCTATTTCAAGAAAATCAACACTCTTTCATATTTTCAACATGACTGATGAACACCACCGACAACTTAAAACGAAAAAAATGAAGCAAACTGGTGTCCATGCCCTCTTGCAACACATCAATATGCGTGGGAGAGAAACGCAAAATTGGGAATGAAGCTATGGCGTTCTATTAGCTTTACGTCAATATAAGACATACCGGGAAATTCACGGAATATTAATTTTTGATGCAGCAATGTGCTAAACATGATTAGTAGAGCAACTATTCGTACTTAAGAGATATCCTCTTAGTAAGAACCAAGATTGAAGGCGCTCTGTTATTTTGAATCCTCGCATCCGCCGCGTTGCGCCGCAGGCGAAGCGGTGCATGCTGGAGAGTCAAAACGCCTTCAAATTCGCGCGTATGCAACACGGACATCCGTGGAGTTCGAATAGTTGCATCAAGACGTATTAATGAGATTCGTTTTATGTTCGCCGCATGTAATACTTACTGAAGATGCTTGCTTGTTTCTCTTACGTCTCAACTTAATATCAAAGTCGCCTTTTGTGCCGAAGAAGTAAACTATCACTGATTTTTATTTTTATTTATACATTGTCAATTTTCCGCAAAGTGCATTGTTTCTTTAAATGTATTACAACGTTGCTGGTCCTCGAAACCGCCAAAAATTTAGGAATCTGACCATGATTTGTAGATTTCCTTTTAACGGACATGAACGAGTCGTCCTTAGTTTGGATGTTACTCCTTTTTAAAAAAATACTTCTGACGTTTAAGTGCGAAATTTTCGCAGAACAATCCTCGAGGCAGACCTAAAGCTCCTCGCATAAATATCCCAGTTAAGGCATTAGCAAAAACCAGGATTATTTTTCTTCTTAAGTGTTCCTTTATTTAAGATGATAGGATGTTAATCGATGATTTTGACAGCAATGTGGTATACCTCCTAAATGCTCTAAATTTATCATTAAAAAGTCTGAAGCATTTGAAGTACTAAGTAACAGTCACTCTCAGTCATCAGCCTTCACAGTCATCACAGAGGCTTGAGCCTTGTATTTTTTATATTAGTGTGTAATTTCTGCCTTAATTAAGTATTTAATTTAAAAAATACTATTGCATTTTGCATTCCTCATTATTCTTTATACCTGAATAATTATTTTCTTTTGATGCAGATGTTCCTGTAGTCACCGAAATTGACGTCTATATGTCAAACACATACCTAAATGGTGTTTTTGACTCTTGCAAACAAGTATCAATGCCCTCATCTGGTCAGCTTGTCCTAGATTTCATGTGTGGATCCTGGGGTGCCTCTCGATGCACACCTCACAAGTATGTCCTTTTTTTTTCATCTATAAAAAAATGTATGTACTCAGCACCATTAGATGCATATGTTGCGTCACTCGGCTGCATGATATCTCGCGAACCAACAGTTTCCCTATATGCGTACTATAATACATCGATGGATGCGGAATCGAACGAACTATCGATTAGAAAATTTTTCATTCAAAGAAGATAGCTTTTTTGGGTATTTGCGGATTTGTAAAATTTGTCGAATTTAAAAATCGAAAAATTGGCAACAATGCTTGTTAAAATTAACGCTACATTAAAAACATGGTCATTTCCTGAAAGTGCGCAATTTTTTAGAGAAATTTCGTCAAAACCGCAATTTCATAGCTCAATTTTAATGCCACTTACGGAATAGACCACTAGACAAGGTACGAATTTCAGCATTCTGATACCTACATGTTTCGTAACTAAAATTTCACGTAGAACACGATGCGCACAACGAAAATTACCGAAATCAACTCCTCACGAAGGTATTTAATGATTCTTGATGCGTGAATTTAAACCACCCGCTCATGAAAACTCAATGCTCTACGTGATTCACATCGTGCGCTAAACGTTATCATGACAGTCTCTTCGATATAAAAATCTGGCAACCTCAATCTTGACGCTTTGGCTCAGCTATAGCAAATTGCTGATATTTTGAGCAACACATAGTGGGAAATGAACATTGCTCGATTGAGAAGCTTGCTGAAACCGTTGTAGTGCGCGATTTGACTCACGTAGAGCTTTGAGTTTCTTGTGAGCGGGCAGTTCAAATTCCTCGTAACCAGTGTGAAATAAAAACGTTAATATCTTCGTTGGGAGTTGGTTTCAGCAATTTTCGTTGTATGAATCGTGTTCAACGTGAAGTTCTGGTTAAGAAACATGTATCAGATCGCTTAAATTCGTACCTTGTCTAGTGGTCCATTTGCCTCTTTTCAACTTGGCAACGCTGTAGCGCGCAGGAAAAATTTCGGGTGAACTTGCCAATGCCGTAAAAAGGCGTGTCTTGTGATAGGGAACAACATATCGACGATGAAATTCCCAAACCACGTATCTCGGTTTGCAACGTTGCAGACTTACTGTCATACTTTATTTTTTGAAAGAAAAACCACTCAACGTACATTTCCTAAAATATCTGTGATTTTTCTGCTCTGTACGAAAAAAATTCTGTGAAAACTACACGGAAAGATGTTGATTCGCTTCCAGAAAAAAATTAATAATAGGAGCGGAGATTTTTAAACACCGCAAACGAGATACGTGGTTTGGGAGTTTCACCGTCGATATCCAACTCAAGAGTAGGGCAAAATTACCGATTTTGAATAACCCTCTCTCGGGTTTGTCAGAGAGCATTTAACGTCATTCACTCATTCGATCTGGCAACACTCACTACAAAATACTATGCATAGTACTACGATGAGTACGATGACGCATTCTTGGCCTCTCATTGGTTCGCTCTGTTTTGAATGTTTCATTCATGAATTAGCGTCATGGCGCATGCGCATTGCGACGCGCGCACGCATGGAGCACGTTTTTGTAAACAAATTAATTTTAAACGGTGATCCTTGTCTTGCGTCTTGCCTTTATTCATTCGACGCAGATTTCTTTATCAATTTAAGATAATGTGCGAAATCAAGGGTTTTTAAAATTCATTTATCTTCACTTAAATCGAAGCAAACCTCTAAAGAACAGAATTTGTCGATTTGTTCCATGGTTAGGTGCTTTTCCAGACCAGCCAAATAAGTTGTTTATCGATCAGAATGTAGTTTAATATGTTTCCTCATAATCATGCCACAGCTGGCTGCAGTATTTACATCCCATGTAGGTACATGCATAGACACTTAATTTTCAAATTAATCTAGTGTATTCAAATTTAGTAGGAATAAACTTTTGAGGTTGGAAAACAATGCGGTAGGTAGGTACCTAAGATTTCAACCCTGAACTCACAAGTTGTATAATTTCAGACGGTTACAGCATCAGGTGCTATTTATACTTTGAATGAACAGTAGTCAAATTTTCTTGCTTTTCCTGTTTGTGCAGTTGCACATTGACAGTGACACTACTTATCCTGACTGTTTACTCATTTTTGCATCTTGCTAAATTCCATGTTCTACTATATATCAGAAACCTCTATGGCTCCTAGAATTGTGCGTTCTAGTTAAACAGCAGTTTCCAAGAAGGTATACTATTGTTCTTGCTTTTTTCTTTGCTGGCAAATCTTTATGTGGACCTTTTTCTCCTTGAAGACCACTCGCAAATCAATGAACAAAATGTTACTTACTTACTTTTTTTCTAACTCAGTTTTATATAATGCTTTTTTCCTCCAGGTGGTTCAGATTCATGGGGCGCAGAGAACAAAATCCATTCGTCCCTTTCAACATTAACTATTTTTCCTCTGACGAGCCAATCAAGGGTTTCTTGCCGTTTAATGGTACCATCATTCCTTGCAACGCAGCCGCTCATGTAAGTTGGAACTGTAACACATTTCTTTGCACTAATCTACCCAAGCTCTTTTTCAAGTTTTGATCCTTGAATAAGTGTTTGATAGAAGCAGGAATATATGCTGTCCTGACCTCTCTATTGCACAAACAACACTTCAGAAAATTTGTTGAAGTTGGTTTAAATCAAAATGTTCTCAATGGAAAGAACCCTCAGTTAACTTTTTCAGAAGGTATCTTTACCCACTGAGGAGGGTAAATTTTTACCTATAAGGGCTTGTATTTGAATGCCTTTGCACTTACCCCATCCTCAGGCCTGCTTTGTGGCTTGCCATTAAAGTATGGTTTTCTCTGCTAAAAACATTCTTAGAAATAAGAGGAATTCAATTGAAGTTTCCTGAAGTATTTTACTCTTATGTTTGCAGCCTGGTGGAAGACCTTGCAGTTGTCTTGATTGTGAGGCAAGTTGTCCACGGCCAACGAAAACAGAACAACCGGCTCCCAAAAAAGTAGAGAGTTCATCAAGGGTCAAGTCAATACTCTTTTTATTTGCCTCCACTTTGAGTATCATGGTAGCTTTCTGGGGAATCACTTATGTCACACAATTTTGTAAGTATTTTTTATTGTACGTAGTCTACGTATCTGCGGCTTCCTGCAGTTTTTTAAACTCCTGCCCTTTTGCACTCAAAAGGAATATTAACTTCTTTTGTGCTGCCTCTGACTTTAGGCTCAGTGGATATGGTTCAATCCTGTGACACTGTGGCAGGTCTATGGGTCTAAGAACCGATAGCTGTAAAAATACAATCTTGTAGCACTATTGGGCCCCTGATCAAAGTGTATTAATGCAGATCCGGTTGATCCAGATTGAAGTTTTTGATGGGGGTATTGTGTTCCTGGTTGTCTATTGGTGGATGAACATCTCTAGAAATTCTTTAAAAATTTTTTTTTTGCACCAACAGACAAATTGATCAATAATTCATTCGTCCAATTTTTTAAGAACTTGCCAAGTCAGTCAAAAAATTTCGTGAAAATTTGTACAAATTGTTTCATTTCATCTATTGTAGTATGCATAAAAATAGCACAGCAGGCAACACAATATTGAAGCAACATAATTTGTATTTTTGGGACTTTTTTTTATCTTATTTACCACATTTTTTGGTCGTAAATCTAGCTACAAGTATCTCAAACCATCAAATATTGATAAAAACGTTGGAACCTGTTGAAAGGATAAAATGCAGGAAGTTTGGCCGAGCCCTGTCTGATGAAGTGCCCATAACTATTAGCCATAGCTCATTCTACGAAATGGGCTCCTTCAGCAAAAGTGCCAAAAAATTGTCCTCCTTATCTAAATATATTTAATTTTCGAGTGTTTCAATGAAGTTTTGTTATCGATGATGCTCCTTCACAAAACGCTGTCAATGGTCTCTTTCCTCTAACCAATATAGTTTTGAAGGAACCACCAATCCCTTTTTAATGGGATTGGTGGTAAAGTAACCGGTCAATATTCAGACCAGTAATTTTTCACAGTTCATGTGACATTTTTTTAAATTTTTTTTGTTTTTTCAGATAAGCAGAAAAAGAATTTTACAGAGGATGATGTTATGAAAAAACTTGGGGACAAGCTAGAGATATGTTTAGAAAATATTTTTTACCAAATTGGACTGGGTATGTGAAAAATTGAATGCATTACTTATAAACTCAAGTCAAACAAAATTCTATTTTACCATTGTCCGAATTTTTTGTTCTTTATTTGTTTTCACGAGAGGCATTCAAGAAATGAGTATCCCTGCTCCCCTCTACAATCTATCAAAATGTAATGATTATAAAAATATTTTGATAAAATGCAATCAAACAAGGGCTGAGAATGCACCCAGCAGTATGAATGGCTCTTGCCAGGCCAATTGAATTTAAAGTCATGAGCAATTAAGATTACTTCTCTTTCAAAGTTCACACAATTAATCAACAGGAAAAAAGAAACTCAATTTTGGTGCTCACCTTACTTTTCTCGTCTCCTTGTCCCTTGTAAGTACTGAGCTATAACCAGAATGAAATCCATAGAATTGGCTATCAGTATTTTTCTAAATTTCTATGAACAATCATACCTCACAAAAAACCTTGTATGCTTGGTTGCATGGCAAAGGCATTTTTCCTGAGCCCCTAAATTTGCGGCAAATTATGCAGGCAACCATAATCAAAATTTGACAGCTTTCAACTTCTTTTTATTTTTTAAACAGGCATGGGTAAGTTTTTTTAAAAGTTCAAAACATCTACCAAAAATGAATTTAAAAAATAAAAGTTTCGATAAATGTTTATGATGTCGAAAGAAAATGCATTTGACTTGGAATATTTTTCTTTAACAGTTTGTGCAACATACCGTTTCTTGACTCTTATTGTATGCGGAATCATTTGTTTGTGTCTTGGCGCTGGGATTTTCCAACTGAGAGTAACGATAGATCCAGTTGAGCTGTGGGCTGCACCCCTAAGTCAATCACGAATCGAAAAAGAGTATTTTGACAAACACTTCCAACCGTTCTATCGTGCTCAGCAAGTTATCATCAAAGCAGTGGACCTTCCTCCGGTTTGTATTTCTCATTGAATTTTTGTCTGTAGCTTTTAAGTACATATGTAATTTGTAAGGTAATACGTGTCCTGCCAAACAACGACAGTTTTATATCATACCTTCTACGGTTTCATTTATCACCTGAACTTCTGCTGTTTTAGACTGAAAAACTTTCAAAAACTCACAAAACTAAGTTTCATAGTTTCTAGAAAGTTGCTAAGTACTGGTTCCTTTAAATTGAATTTGGATCATTTTTGCCTATGAAAATTGTTTCCATGAACCTTTTTTTTTCCATAAATGAAATAATAATTGACCATGTTGATGTCTTCGAATAATGCAGGCTTCATCTATCAACATGGACAAAGAATTGCTTTTATTAAGAGCTAAGAGAATAATTATTGTTCTACATACTCTCATCCAGGAGGAAATGTTCTCAGCAGCTCTGCAAAATCTCATCAATTGGTTTGACTTTCAATTTTCAGGTTCAGCATTTTACTGCATCTGGTCCTGTTGAATATGGACCAGTATTCAACAAAGACTTCCTGATGGCAGTGAAAAAACTGCAAGATCAAATTGAAATGGTAAGCAAAAAGATTCTGTTGATTAATTTGCAAGTAATTGGACGCATCTTGGCAGAAGAAGTCCATTCACAGATAGTTTTCATTGCAGGAAGACTTTTTCCACATAAATTTGTTCAGTCATCAAGTTCTGTGTGTTATTACACATATCAATGGCGTAAGTTCGAAATCACATATCACGTTTGCGGTGTCTGAAAATCTCCGCCTCTATGTTATTTTTTTAAAGGAGAACCAATTGACATCACTCCTTGAAGTTTATGCAGAATTTTCTTCGGACAGAGAAGAAAAATCACGGCAGTTTTAAAGAATTGCCGTCGAGTAATAAAAGAGTCGTCGAGTTAAAAAATAAAGTATGACAGGAAGTCTGCGACATCGCAAACCGAGTTATGTGATTGGTGACTTACACGGTTGATGTACAGTTTAGCTGTAGCTAATCTTCTGAAACAAATTTGGAACAATGAGGTTAAAAATCAATTTTTTGTGGATGAAATACTATGGTAAAATTCATCCATATTACTGTCAAATTCAAAATTTACGATTGTGATGGATACTGATGTATTATAGAAAATGGAAGAAGCTTCAACATTATATTAAGTATTTGAAGGAAAGGTCATGAATTATCAAGAAGTGACCATTGCATTTACATCCTCACTAAATTTGGATTCATTCAAAACCAAAGTGAATCTTTCAGTAAGTTTCCCTCTTTTTCAGGTTGGAAAATTTGTAAAAAAATGAAACCAAGCCCTGTTTGGAAGTGTCAAACCTTCAATTTTGTGAAGACCTATCGTTTTTTTATTTTAGCTTTTTGGAAGGGAATGCAAAAATTTGGTGAATGACACTGTCAAAAAGAAGAATAAAACGACTCACAAAAATTTTACAGCATTTTTTTAAATAAAAAAAAATAATTTTATTTTTTCAAAGACCTCAGCAAGACTTTTTTTAAAACTATTTTTGAGACTCCATAGTGCGTGAGAAGTAAAGACGCTTGAAAAACAAGTGGATGCCGAAAATCCATGATTTCTCAGCAAAGCTTAGGCCAACTTTAGAAAGCAAGAACTTGGTAGGAGTATGTTTGCCGATTTAGTATTTGTCTGGTTTTGTTTCTGGTATTGATATTTTTTTGAAAAAATTTAGATGGAATTATGTACTGAAGAATTAGTTGTAACCTCTTATTCCATTCTTCAATATTATATGATTATAGATCGGTCAACCTGACGAAGGATTGAATAAAATATGTTCCTCTCCAATGGCGACTCCTGATTCACCACCCTCGACAGTTAGCAAATGTTTGATCTTCAGTATCTGGGGTTACTATCAAAATAGTGAGGAGACGTTCGAAGACTTGTCTACCACTGACCCAGATGGATACGAAATAAACTATCTCGATCATTTCAAAGCATGCTCCCAGTAAGTCTAGTTTTCTTTAACATAAGTTTTTTTCATTGCCATGTATTTCCTTGACCATCGATTGGAGGAGATCCCAAAAAATCTAAAGGAGTTTTGCATCAATTAAATTTTTTCTTCTTATTTTTAATGAGATAGTCAAGGGAGAAAGCCCGCCCGGCAAGTGGTTGCCTGAAGTAGATGCGGAAATGTTGTCACAATGTAACTGCCAAAAATAATGTTGCGGCAACGTTGCAGCAACGTTGTGGCAATGTTATTTTTGGCCGTTGCCGGACGGGAGGCTTAAGTGCTTTAAAACTCGTACTTGAGTTTATCGTTTTACTGCTCATCGGAATGTATCACAATTTTTTTACCCCAAAAATGTTAAGTATGCCTAAACGAACCCATTGGATGAAGGGCAAATATTTTCAATTCAGAAAATCTAGTTTTAAGGATTGTTATTTTTATTTTGATCTGCTGCCTGTGCATGGCTCGATAGTGTGGTGTTAATGTGCTAATCAACACCCTCTGTTCGTAAAAAAATGAACTGAACTGTGCTCAGCTCAGTCTTTGAGGTACTAAGAAAGGTTTTACTTGTTGATGCACAGAGTTTGTAAACAGTAATGAGTTGTTTTTTTTAATTATTATTTTTCAGCCTATGTTTAACTTCATTTTTCCAGGAACACTTTGAATCCTCTTTGTTTAGCGCCTTACGGTGGACCTGTGGACCCCGGAGTTGTCCTAGGCGGGTTTCTCAAGAAAGGAGAACTACTCACGAAAACAACCTCCTACACAAATGCATCTGCTGTCACGATCTCAATCCTCATAAACAATCACTATGACAAGTCAAAACTAGGTCCTACTTTAAAATGGGAAAAACGGTTAGTCATTTTTAAAAATTTCTGAGACAGTTAGAGTATGTAAAAGTCTTTGTAACATTGAAATTAAGATCTCAAAACAATTTTAAGACATTTTTGATGCAAAAAACGAAAATTTGTCTTCAAGAATCATTGTATTTACTAGTGCATTGAATTTCAGATACTATCTATTTACTCGCTCATCAAGTTAGAACAAAATCTGCAAGAATAATAATTGAAAATTGTTTAAGCTGAAGATACCAATGAAAACTGCGTGATAAAGTAGTCTCGAAGCATCCTGATTCCTAAAACTGCTGAATAAAGTGAGGTTTTCACTAGGGAACAATGAATGGTGATAAAACCACTAGCACTTCATTCATTTACTTTTAATGTCAAAATGTATATATTTCATTTATTTCTCTATTTTTGTTACAGCTTTATAGACTTCATGCAAAACTGGACAATAAATGAAAAGCCATCATTTATGGACGTCTCGTTTTTCTCTGAAAGATCAATTGAAGATGTTCTTGAGAGTGAATCACGTTCCGAAATTGTGACTGTTGCAGTCAGTTATGGAATTATGTTCATTTACATAGCTACTGCTCTTGGAAAAATTACAAGTTTTTCGCGTCTATTAGTGAGTTCATCCACGTCTATTTTTTTAGGGTTCTTGAGAATCAAATTATAGATTATTTTTAAATTTTTTATTTCCAGTGATAAACTGAAGAAAATGTTTAAATCAAATACTAAGAAAATTGAAGGAGGAAAAAAATAAAACTAGCTGGGAAAGATACATCTCTAACAATGTAAAGTTTTACATACCACCAGCTACAGTTAGGTTGGCTCTTTACAAGAAAATACTTTCCCTGTAAATCCCTCCATTTGTTCGAAAGACATGTTGACGGCTCAATGCAGATTTATCTCTATTACATCACTTACAGCCTGATTTTCTCTCATGTTTTACTTTTTTTACTAGATAAGTAAGCAACTGTCCGCTGTAAAATTTTGTGAGCATATTTTTATAAAGGAAAGGGATTCACAGTGTGTTTTAAGAAATAACGCTACTACTTTTTTTGTCCTAAAAAAAATCAATCACGAAAGGAACTAGGGACTGCGAAATATAGGTGAGCTAATTCCAGTTAAAGCTGTCTATTTTGCTGTGACTATGGATGAATAAATTTGGGTTGAGGTTGGAAAAATTGATTATTAACAAATGTTTCATTGATTTTCTGCACATCTTCTTATATTTTACCCTAAAGCATTGTGCTTTGTGTTGCAGGTTGACAGCAAAATAACTCTTGGATTCGGAGGGATTATTATTGTTTTGATCTCTGTTGTCTGTTCTGTTGGTTTGTTTGGATACCTTCAGGTTCCTGCCACACTTATCATTCTTGAGGTATTGCTCTCTAAAATCTTGTTTGTAATTTTTTGGGTGCCTAAGTCATTCAGGGAGAATATTGCGTTTTGTTTCTTCTAAAAGATATCAAGTGACGGCCTCCAAGATTAGTTTATCCATACAATAATTGAATAATTTTTACCAACCTCTTGCTTGGTGACTATCATAAAAAAAGAGACTCACTGACAGTTGTGTTTTTGGTGAAATAGCATATTTTTAGAAATAACTTTCATTGTTGCTTCTGTAATTCTCTGACTATTATAGCTACTTTTCTTTGCAAATCATACATCCCCAAATCACCCAAAGTGATCTTCTTACAAACCAGTGATACATCATTGAAGAAAGGATCCAATTAAATAAAAACAAAGAGGAGCTGATATCTCGCTTGGAGGAAGGGAGCTTAAGTTTCAACTCCCTAAGCACTTGAAAAATAGTGCACTTACTTAAATGGCTCCTCTCAGGTTTTAACTCAAGCTGCAATGGTTCAAATATTTTGCTGTTTCCAGAATTATGCACATCCTATATCAGGGGCTTCCTTCTAAACGAAAATGACACATTGATGTATGTCATTTTCAAAATTAAATTCAAAGTATTTGATTTCCTCATCAGATATCAGTGCCAGGCAACAGATACCTAACTCTACCGTTTTTCAGTCGATACCAAATTTTGATTGAATCATCAAGTCTCTTTTGTCTTACTACCAAATTTTGATTTATGAAAAATCCCAGTACTTTTTTTTTTTTATTAATAGGTGATTCCTTTCCTGGTACTTGCTGTTGGTGTGGATAACATGTTCATAATTGCACAGAAACATCAGCGGGTTCAGCGTCACCAAACTGAAACGTCAGAACAGCACACAGCTAGAGTTCTCTCAATAGTGGGGCCTTCAATATTGCTGACAAGTGTCTCTGAGTTTTGCTGCTTTATTATTGGTAAATACAAATTTTTTACTTGCCAATTTGGTGTTTAGTTGTCCAGATAGATTTTTCTAATACAGTATGTGCGACCTGGGCACTGTAGACATTTTCCCCCCTGAAATTTTATTCTGTCATCCTGTAACACTCATCAAATTAATTCATTTGAACGTAATGGAGTCTTGATCGTTGAGCCTTTGATTCCTAGTATATCATGACCTTTATAAATGTTTTAGTTGGCCATAGGCAAATTTTTATTTCTTTTTATGTATTTATTAAAAGTTTCCTCCACTGAAGTAATTCTAATTGAATTAACTGTCATATTTACTGGACAACAGCTTATGAAAATTATGAAATCCATACCCCCTTTCTCATATCAAAGACTTTAACCATGCTGGTTGATATTCAGTGTATTTACTATATTCGCATTTTGTTTTCTTTTTCCAGGGAGCTTATCTGGCATGCCAGCTGTAAAGGCGTTTGCTCTTTATGCTGCATTTGCACTTCTAATTAATTTTATTCTTCAGATAACCTGTTTCATCAGTTTACTTCAAATTGATGCATCACGCTACCAGGTAAAATCCTACTTGTTCTTTTGATTGCCTCCCTATGATTTCAAAAAATGATTAATTAATTCCTAAAACGCTGTTTTGAAAAAATCAGTCAAAATTTCAATGCACCAATTTTAGCGCCTTGAAATGATTAGATCATAGCATAAAGTATAGCTACTTATTGTTGAAAAAATTAACAAAACTTTTTGTTATAAACTCCCTGTGAGAAATTTTTTTCCATGGAAATATATAATATAAATAAAATAATTAATAATCAACTTGGTGAAAATTGCTCTTCAAAAAACTTGTCTCTATGCACTAGTGTATTTCTTCCTTTGGACCATCCTTCTAGATTGTATACAAAATTCCTGCATGTACAACATTCTTACAAAAACTTAAGCTTACAATTTCAATTTTTCTAGGTTGGACGCTTGGATGTACTTTGTTGCTTTTTCTCAAACGATACGAAAAGTGCTCTGTCTGATGGACCCTTATACAGATTTTTCAAAAAATTCTACTCGCCTTTCATCTTGAGTGGGCCCATGAGGAAGATTGTAATGGTTGTATTTTTCATCTGGTTCAGTTTTGCTATCTCTTTGGTACCCTCAATCAATGTCGGATTGGAGCAGGAATTGGCGATGCCTGAAGATTCTTACGTTCACAAATATTTGAAGGTAATTATTACCAACAGTTCTTTTTTTCTTCTTTTTTTTGCAGCAAAGTAATTTGTATTGTAAAAGTGCTATAGTCTGCTAATGCATAGTATGGTGAAATTGCACGGGGTGCAAAAAATTCCATTACGTCCACCAATTCTTGCCTTGTACTATTTTATGTCAAAGAAAAAAAATCCCATTTCTCAAATCATGGCGCAAGATTTGCCTCTTCTTTTCAGTCCTTTGGGGCCGTTTTGGGGGTTGAGGTGCGTAGTTCTGTATTTCCATCGGATATCCAAGTGTCAACTTCAACTTCTCATTGTCTCTCTCTCTGCGTTTTTGTTTATTCCTTGTTGAATCCATTGACTGATGTTGTTGACTAGTGAAATATTCAAGGCAGAAATTCTGGGACTGTTCTTATTTTTAATTTTGATACTTAGTAGTTTTCTAGTTTTGCTCTGTTTTTATTGATAGCTGTATTATTTGCATTTTCCTTAGTCATTGAACTCATATTTGGCAATTGGACCTCCGACTTACTTCGTGCTGACCGAAGGCTTGGACCTTGCCAAAACTGACGTTCAGAATGCTATTTGCGGAGGACCATCCTGTGATTCTGATTCGCTAACATCTCAGATATATGTGGCCTCTAGAATGGTCAATGAGTAAGTTTCTCTCAAACCTATTTGTTTTGTCTTTATTTATTTTATTCTTACTTTATTTACGACTTTCACTACTAACTTGCTTATGCAAAACTGTGCCTATTGGTCCAGAAAAATCCTGACTAAAACAGCAGGATTTGAACGGTTCAAACCATGGATTCTTTTGCAAATGCCTGCTATCCACAACTTTTGTAACTAATGCTGTACAATTAGTTCCTCAGATGACGTGCAAACCGTGCCTATATTGCACCTAGCAACCTGATGAAAACATGATATTTAAAACGACAGTCATTACAACCGATTGTGTAGTGAAGCTATCAATGTAAAAAAAATTTCAGAATCAAGTTGAAATAACAGTTTTATTTATTAAATGTAGCAAACATTTTAGAATTCATTTTTATGAAACCATCATTCAGTAAAATAGAAGAGGAGAATCACCAAGGATTCTGGTGTGCTTATTGATATTACCTTTACACTTTGAAACAAAATTTCCAACAGAAAATACTACAATTTTAAGAATTAGTTCTTTTCTTCCTGTAAAGCGCACCCTTCAGGAACTGTGTTAATTTTGAAGGTTTAGCCAATCATTGACAAATATTCACCCGCTATGACGAAAAGGTTTGAACCAAATATTGTGCATTCTCATGAGCTATGAGCAATAAAAAGAAAACCACTCTTAGTTAGCTCAGCTAGAGAAAATTGCATCATCAAACTTAATACTATTTCAGTTTAAAATTTAGATGTGTGATGAGTATTTTCTCCTCCAATCCTCAATTTTAAACCATACAGATACCTTAGTATTTATATTTCTGTTTTCTTTCTTTTTTTCAAAGGACTTTCATAAGTAAGCCTGCAATGTCCTGGTTAGATGACTACTATGATTGGTTGAGCGTTCCAGGTTGTTGCTGGCAACATTCCAATAGTTCTTTCTGCCCGAACACCGGTAAGCTCCTTCAGTCAATATTTTTCGATTTTTATTGATATTCTTATCCTAGACTTTTCATTATCAGTGTTGTATAGTATCAGGAAAAATTTTAATAAGATTTTATCAGGGTAGCCTGTCTTCTAGATAACATTGGAATGCCAAGGAAAGTTTCGTAGAAGTCGGAGAAAAATTAGAGGATTTCAGTAAAATAAAAAAAATAAAAAAAAATTAATGAAAAAGGGAGAACTTCAATAATTTTGAAATCTTAAAAACTGGTTTAAAACGGAGCATCCAACTGAATTTTGCCACCTAGATTTTCATCTCTAGTTCTGACCAATTAGGACAGTCAAAGAAAACAATGTTTGAATGGCTCCTTAATGAAAGTTGTATATTGTAATATTATTTGATTGTTCCCCGCAGATGCCTTGACTAAAGGTTGTCATCAATGTGACATCACCCTGGATCCAAGTTTGAATCGACCAAACTCATACATTTTCCAACAATATTTGAGCTATTACCTTCAAGATAATCCGTCGGTTACATGCTCTAAAGGTGGACATGCTCCTTATGCTGCGGTAAGTTTTACCCATTAATTTATACTTTTTACCTGAACAGACTGATCTTAATAACAATCATGATTAGACATCATGAGACTTGATCAGCATCATAGTTTCATTTATAAGAAAATTGACTCAAAGAAACAAATATTGAATTTATTAATGACTTTCCAAACCCCAAATTGAATTATTGGTGCTGTTCGGCAGCAGAGTGTTCTTCAACATTTTGGTGCAAAGCACGCCCAATGAAGTTAAACCAAAGCAGAGTAAATTGAATTTTAAGAGTTTCTGCTGAGTTTGAGCTGAGTTTCAATAACATTCAAAAGCATTTTTCATCAAACTATTGTAAGACACAAGCAAACTTTTGTCAAACTGAATAATTTAGAAGTTTTTTAATTTAAGTAAGGACGTCCCCCTTTATCTTCTTTTACCATGGTTTTACAATATTAATTTATTGTGATCCATTCGACAGCCTTGTAAAACAATCATTTGATTTTTCCATTTACTTTCAGGGTGTCAACCTCGAAGTAAAGGATAATAAAGGATTTGTCGGTGCAAACTATTTTATGGCATTCCATAAAATTTTGAAAACATCGCAAGACTACACTGCAGCACTTCAAGGAGCTCGGAAAGTAGCTGAAAATATTACAGCCATGATACACTCGAAAATTCCGAACAGTGAAAATGTACAGGTCTTCCCCTACAGGTAGTGTAGAAATGACCTTTCCTTTGAATAGAACTGTTATGCTCATTCATAAATGTTCAGCCTTTTTCCAGTTTTACTTTTTACCTCTAATTGTCAGCTGTCATAGTTTTGAAACAAAAATGGAAGTGTCCTTTTCCTGCAAGTAATTTAGGTCTACCATCTTATGGTTAGTAAAGATTTATGATTTTTACTAGTTATAGGAACCAAGCATAGACCAGGCACAGGTTTTTATTTCAATAATAATTCAGTGCTGAATAAGAAGCAAAAGAGTTCCAAAAAAGCAAATCATGGGCATTAAAAACTATTGCTCAAAGTAAGCTTCTAAGGACTCCAAAGAAAATCAAACTCTCCCGTAACTTCTTGAACCCAGCAATAATTTTTGTCGAGTTGGGGGAAAAAATCGGAATTTTAGATCGCAATAGAATACACTCTACGCCATGGCAAAGAATGAATGAAAATTGTTGAAGACATGAAAATAAATGAAAACAAATTAAGACCGTAGTCTTTAAAAATATTTTATTTACAGATTATGTTCAAATGCAATGAACCTATTATAACGCAACCGGAATAAAAACCGGAAAATATTGCGTTTCCGCATGCCCCATGCTGTAGATACCTCTCCTTAATTTCCCATCCAGGAAATAACCCATTATAATGTAGCTTTGCATTGAATTGACTCTATTTTGCAATGTTTGTGCTGTTGCAGCTTTTTCTACGTTTTTTACGAGCAATATTTGACGATGTGGCAAGATACCCTGTCAAGCCTCTCTTCCTCTCTTGTGGCTATCTTTGTAGTTACTTTTGTTCTGATGGGCTTCAATGTCTTATCCTCTGTCATCACAGTTCTTACAATTGTGATGATCATAGCAAGCATGGGAGCGCTCATGTTTTTGTGGGATGTGTCCCTCAACGCCATTTCATTGGTTAATCTAGTCATGGTAAGTAATAGTAGGTTTTCAAATGGTTAACAAACAAATCTAAGAAGTACAAGGCATAAAAGGCAACAGAAGTTTCTCTAAATGTTTCTTAAAGAAGGGCACACTAATATTTAGTTGATACAACTTGTACCACACCAAATGTTACTTGATGTTATTGATCAGTCTATTAAAAGGACCAATTACGGGCTTCAACACTCCTGCTTTTGTTTTCTAGAATTTAAGAATAAGGTTTGGTAGAATCTCTCACGGAATGCATCAATAAAACCGATCATTTTGTTTTATGCAAATTTATTAATACTGCAGGAGTCCTTTCTGATCATTAAATGCTCAAATCTCTGCCAAGCGCTCCCTAACTTAGTAGAATCATTTTACAGTAATATGAAGTCCAGGTCCTAACTCAATACAGCAAGCTTACTTGGAGATAGTTACCTATTAATCGTAAAAGAATCATGAAAATTAGCTCGCTAGATCCTCGAATGTAACAATAACAAAACATGAAAATTTGGGGAGCTAGAAAGCATAAAGTATTGATGAAGTTGTCTAATGTAATTGGCTTAGTTCATTAAACGCCATCTTGATCTCTGAGCTGCTGTTGTCAAACCCTCCATTAATTATTCATCCTCAAGATTAAATAAGTCCTACTTTTCATACATACGTCAATCATCACTTTTTCTCTATTTTTATTTCAGGCTGTAGGAATATCAGTAGAATTCTGCAGTCATATGGTGCATGCATTCACTGTCTCTGAAGAATCCAGCGCTGTCCAGCGAGCTGTTGATGCCCTGAATAATAGTGGATCATCGGTAAGATTCAATACTTCTCTGAGTCTCTCTCAAAGTCTAATATGGATGGTGATACTCTAAATTCCATCACCTGGATTATCATTTTTCAGAGTTTCTGCTCTTATTTTATTTTGATAGAGTATTACCAGACGTTCCAATGAAACTTTCAAGAAACATTCTTGGAAAGGCAAAGAAAAGTCTCACAAAATTTTTCACAATGAAAGTAATCAGTCATCCTTCAAAAAAGTAAAATGTAACAAAAAATCTGTCAAATCTTATACCGAGATGTGTAGCCTCATTGTCTCAATATCAATATTGTTGATGCCAAGCTGCTGATGTCTGTGAAATCAGGAAAATATCTAATTATTTTAAATTTAAATGAACTTTTATGTTTCTACTCTAGTTCAGTTCATATGCATTTTGCTCTTTTTTGGCTCAAGTTTGGACCATTTTTAATCATAGGTGAAGATAGAAGGTTATCCTCTTTGAAATGCCAGTATTCATTCACACCTTTGAACCGCTACAAAGTATATTGCCTAAATTTGTTTTTCATACCTCTAATTCTCAATTGTATGTTTATGTTTAGATATTTTCCGGCATTACCCTAACTAAATTTGGCGGAATCATAGTACTTGGATTTGCCAGATCTCAAATCTTCCGGGTTTTTTACTTTAGAATGTACTTAGGCATAGTTTTGTTTGGTGCAGCCCATGGCCTCATCTTTTTACCCGTGCTTCTCAGTTATATAGGTAACAAAATTTTTAATTTACATTTTCTAATCTCCAAGAGTCCCAGATTCCACTACTGCCAGAATACCTAAGGGGAGTCTGTATTTGTAATTTTTTACATATTCTTTATCACTACATGCTTTGATTTTTGCTGCACTGTGCTGAGTCTGTTAACCTCGTAATCAGTCTTGGTCTCGTAATGACAGCAGTTCGAAGACTCATTTTTCTTTGATTTTGTTTCCATTTAAAAACGAGTCTGTCATGAATCTCAAAACGTCCTGGTTTCTTCTATCTGTTTTGTTGTGCAACAGCCTTTCCCCAGATTAATTTGTTATGACTACTGTGTTTTCTAACTGATTAAGTTGTTCTTCAATCCATTTGTCTCTGACGCTGACACAAATAATTTTTTTTCTACAGGTCCAAGCGCACTTGGTCAGAAGGTGAGCATGGAAAGTGAAATGGTCAAGGTGCCAAGTGATCCCATGGCAAGTCAGAAAATAAATCTAACCGGAAATGGAACCAACAATCATGCAGAACCATAATCAGTGATGTAGGAACAATTTCCGGACTAGGAAATAATTCTCTCTAAAAGATCTCTGTAGTTTTTAAGTTGGTTATTAGGTAATTACAGCAGTCCTTTACTTAAAACCACCCAATTTCTTTTAGTTTTAATAGTTACCGTTATAATTTTTTTTAATCAAATTTTTCAAGTTTGTAACCACGAAATGAAACTTGTTTTTATAGAAAAAAAAACTACAGCTATTGATTTGACTCAGATTTTTAAGCACTTTTTTCTTTCAAGGAATCTCCACACAGGGGGAAAAAAACCAAAAAAACAGGTAACAATTGATTGTCGATATTAAGGCAAAATCAGAGGAAAAGTTCACACAGGGAAAACAAGAGCCAAAAAATCTGTTAAAAATTGTGTGCCATGACTGAGGCAAAATCAGAAGTTACCCTCGGCATTTTTATTCAAACGCTCAATCTTGTTCTCAAAACCATTAAAATCAAACTCTGTCAAATTCCGCCAATGTAAAATCTAAGAACAAAATTTGCAGTCAATTGTAAATATAATGCGGCCCTAAATTTACCATAAAAATTAAGTTTTTATCCCTGAAACTCATTTTTCGTATATAATTATTTACATGTAAAATTAAAAAACCGTTCTGCCAAAAGGGCACAAAGTAATCTTTAAAAATACTTAAACACTCCTCTACTATTTTATTACAGCCAAACCCCTTTGCTATTTTGCATTTGAGGGTAATCGTTTTTATGTCTGTAGTAGCAGATAAAAGAAAGTGTCCAAAACCTTTCCATGAAAAAATGATTTTTTTTTCTTTTACAAATCATACTTCTGGGGTACCTCCATATTCCAGAAATCTCCTCTGCCCAGGAGGATAATTTTTCAGTTTGAGCTGTACTATTAAGAATGAAAACAAGAAATAATGAAGCATAAATGGATCATTCTATTCAAGAGGTATCGACTGTCATTTATTGTAAAAGTATTAATAATTTACAAGTATTTATGATTGTGTCATGAATTCGGCAATATGAGTCCCTCTCCCAAAAAGAGATGCTCAAATACTTCTAACATCTTTGCGTGTATGATTCATGTATCAATTATTTCTTCTCAGCCTTGACTATAGTCTCTTTTTGTTTTAAATGAAAACCTAATACATCTATTATGATCAACAAGGAAAAAGTCTGCGAAACTAGGTTAAAAAAAAAAAAATTCTGGAAGACCGTGTATTCTGTGCCTTCTGAAATGAATAGTGCCTTATTTTACTTTTTCAAATCATAAGTTTCATTTTTGCCTTTAAATGAGGCATTTCAAAGCTAGTGCATGTTGAGTTTAATGGTAAGAATACTGTGTAAACTTAGTTCGCTAATATTATGGTAAATTTAATTATGTATGATTCAAATCTTTTTGCACCAAGCATCAGAAAAATTTAACTCTCACAAGAAGTATTTAACTCCAAACGGCCGTTTTTGAACCACACTGTGATGAGTGTTCTAGTTTCTAGCTCTGATTCCAGGAGATCCTCTTTTTCTGTAACTGAATGAACATTTTTGTGAAAATTCAAGCTTAGTTAAAAAGGAAGAAAGGAGGGAAACCAGATTAAAAAAAGAAATAATTCTTTGTTATTTTTGCACCCTCCAATAATCTGTAGAAGGAGTGTCTTAAACGGAGGCCAAAAACTTCGCGTTCATTAATTGATATTTTATCCTAAATATTTGAAAGAAAGGAAAGCCTGACGTGAGAAGCCCACACAGCATTAACTCGTAATGATACATATAGAATTTAATTTTTCAATCTTTGATAAAATCTTCGATGACTTTTGACACAGTTATGGGTAATAATAGCTATTGTTTTGCATTTAATTCAACTGCTTTCCTTACAAATGAAGTAGAATTGTTGTTTCCTTTTTGTATAACAGAGATAAAAAAGGCACTTTTGGCTTCTTTTTTTTTGTAGTTATTTTGGTCAAATTTTGAAGTGCAGAAAACTGTTTTCTCTTATCATGTACTACTAAAGCATGTTTAGTCAATATCCTTTAAGTTGTTTCTCCTATTTGTGATTTTTAAAATTCACTTCCATTGAAAAAGTGTAATCAAACATGTATTTTCCTTCAAGTAACGGAAACGTTATAACCCATATAAGATGTCATTTTTGGTTAAAGTGCAATAATATCTAGATATTCCGTATCATTCAATCCTCTCCTGTAATAAGACCCGTGTGTAACTGGCAAACATTTGAAATCCAAAATGATATGAAAGTTTCTCGCAAAGATTTTTTGGGACTTGTGAGTACTTACAAAGCAGGTCCCTCGACCATGTGCTCGACAATACTGTCTCTCACTTTGCCTTCTTCAATAGCAACTTCAATCTGTTCAGTGAATTTAATGCAGTTTTTTAGACGTTTATAATATGAGGGACCGAGGGCTCTAAGGCGGTGTTGTTAAGCACAAAAAAGGGCTGACGGGAGATGCATGAAATAAACGCAACTAAGCGTCACATAATTTAAGTATGATCTATAGTAAGAAGTTTAGTGCTCTTTTTTTTTCAAATTACCGTGCTATCAATTCCTTTTTGTTTGTATGAAGTAAAGTTGGCGAAGAAGAATTTTGAATCTGATGAATTGATCGCATTGAGAACTCAAGTGATTCTCTGAAACCTTATCCTAGGTTGATAATCCACTTTTTCAGATTTTTCTTCAAGTTTAATTACTACTTGATAATTTTATTTAGTGAATATTTTTTTACTTGACAGCCTTCAAAAAGGTATCTGTGATATTATCAGTACAAGGGACCCATTGCAGCTGCTGATTTTGTAGATTAATAATGAGGATTCCATTGTTTGTAACTGTAAGAATGTAATTAATGAAACCAATATGTCTTATCAGGTAACTCTGTCAGCAATGATTTTTATGAGCATGTTTTTAAAAAATATGTAAAATTCATGCAGGAAGTATACCTATCAAGTGATTTGTATGTAACCATCACATAAAATTTATGCAAACTAATGAGGATATTAGCACCGAATTTTTTTGTAAACTGTGAAACATTTTTATCAATGTCAATTGACATGCCATTGATTTTAAGTAAATATTTGTTTAAATGTTTGGTATAATATTATTAAATCAAATATACAAGATCATTCGTAATGTATTCGGTTAGCCGAAAATAAAAATATCCATGACATCTAGGTCTCCAGGAAGAATCCTAGTTATTTCAACTTTTAGATGTGCATGTGTATATCTCACTCTAAATTGTCTTTTAAAACTAATGAAGTCTTTTGGCTGTATGAAAATTTTGAGAATCTTATTTCTTTTTTCACACACAAAAAAAAACAAAAAAAAAACTAGTCATTGCCACCAGGGTAGAAGTTTTAGCACTAATTGACAGTGAAATGGCAGGAACGCAGATAAGAAATAAATATTATCTCTGGAAATTTTCTTCATAGATTTTTCTTCACTCAGAGCAGAAAAATAAGAAAGGTTTTTACGAAGTGATGTTGAGTCTTTTTCAATTTCAAGGCAAAAGCATTACAGGAAGTCCCAATGCTGCAAATTGACGTTTGCATTCCTGCAGTTTCACTGTTGAAACGCTATTATAGTCCTGTTTCTTTGTAAATATAGCATCTAACAGGACAAAACACTTTTCCAAGTTAGTTAATTTATTTTGCCTAAAAAATGATCGAAGAAATTGTATATTATTGTTACAATTAATTTATTACTTTCAGACTATCCTGTTTACATTTTATCAAATTTTAGCACTATTCCCGAGGTTTCAAACAAGGTTATGGTGACAAAAGTATATACTATTGCCTACAAGATAAGGTGTCTCAACCAGCTTAAACATCATTTCTGTTCTTTAAAATGTTGCTGAAGTGCTTAAGTGTAACCCTAAGTCTCATTTTCCAAGGGATACTTCTGATACTTTTAACCCTTTCCTGAATCTAATTTCAATTTTAAGCAGGGTTGCTTCGACTTTACTCTAAGTGTGTCCTAAGTAAATGGGGGGAATTTTGGCTCAGTGCCATGTTTAGGCGCACTGCTTCTTTAGATTGTAATTCTTGTTGAATCTATAAATGAGACTGATAAGAAGGAGAATTTTCTTCTGAAAGCTCTGCTTTTTTTCTAGCTACCTTTCTCATCTTGTAGGTTATAGTTTGCCGTAGGTACAAATCAATCTTTCTATTGTCATTTTGTTACTTACTATTTTATATGATCTTATAATTGAATAAAAAGGTTATGGAATCATTTTGATTTGTTAGTTGTTTTTTTCTAATCTGCATTACCTGTAAATTTTTCAGGGATTTTTATTCTTTTATTATTTTTTTTTCCGGTCATTTCCCTTTCCTTTTCATGGGGTATAATAGGTACTCATGAATATTTTCGATGGAACCAAAAATATGAAAATCTCCTTTCTGCCGTTAAAAAAATTTCAAATATAGTCTTGTAAAAATGTAAGTAATTAGACATACATTTTCATAACTGGAAAAAATTAACAGCCAAGAGAAAAAAATAAATCGCAGAGGTAGTGTCTTAGAAACACACATTGAGCGCAAGAGTTCTATAACTTAAGAGAGTTTAGTAGTATTTTTTCGCATTTTTAGTACTTGGGCGAATTGCACCACTAGATCAGTGATCAAGGAAATCCCTCCTTCAACCGGGGGAACTAAAAAGTTGGTGCCATGCACGCACTCATGATTTGTAAGCCATTGCGTGCTGTGTTATTATGTCGGCGCTTAATTCTAGATCAACGATTTTGTATTTCGCGGGATATCCATGATGGCGGGAAAAGAACGAAAAAAAACCATGGCTACCGATACTTACAAATCTAAAACTCTTATCCCGGAGTAAGGAACGTTCACAAAATTTTCATTTGATAAGAGTTTTCTGATGCTCAAAGCCCCTAAAAATAAATTCTTTCCACGTAAATAATAATAATCGATGCTGAGGAAGGTGCGTAAAGAAAAGAAAATGTTATGTTATTTCGCTGATGATCATGTTGTTAGGTTTTTGCGTTTGGCCCAGATATTCCAGACCAAATTCTCATCAAAGATCAAAATCTGTCATCGGTGTCAAACTCGCTCCTAATGTAAACAAACAAACGGCGACATAGTCCGGACATAAACAAAGCGGATCTCGTCGAGATGTTCCACACTAATTTTCTCAGCGTTATCGTTTCTTCACCTCGACAAAAGAACTTTCGTCCACATCCATCTATCCATTTCGTTAAATCAGATATCAATTACCGCGTTGATCTGTTCATTGTGGTTTCGGGTGTAGTTCGGTACTCGGGCTCCTTTTTAGACCCATCAACGGTACTCCCTACGCAGTTCGGTACTCGGGCTCCTTAATTTAAACTTATTTAGAAGAACATACGCCATGATTTGACGCGGCGCCTACGTAAACCCAATATCCACAAGCCTGAGGACCTAACTTGTAGTCCTGTAGGTTAGGTTACGTTACGTTACGTCAGGTAAGTTACCTTAGGTTGGGCTACGTAAGGCAATGCTCGGGTAAGTTAGGTTAGGTTAGGTAAGGTTAGGTAAGGTTAGGTTAGATTAGGTTAGATTAATTTATATTTCATTTTTTCCTCTAAATAATAATTTTTATTACAGAATACACGACAACATCGTGGGCAGTAACGAATAACAAAGAATTCTTTTAATAATGAGAAGAACTTTTTTTCTCGTGTGAAAACACGAAAATTAAAATCAATTAAGGATTAAAATTAAACAGGTATTGGGGGAGTGTGCGCGACATTTGCAATTGTGTTCAATAGTGATAAGAACGGATCATGATTTAGGCGCCGTTGCTCTCGATGCCATTACGCTGAGAATAAAGCGTATGTGAAAATAGCCCCACTTTACGTGAACTCCGGAAACCATCTCGGCAAAGTAAATTTCATTCAAAATGTGTTTGTGATTGATTACGGGCATCGTATGTTCTTCTAAATAAGTTTAAATTAAGGAGCCCGAGTACCGAACTGCGTAGGGAGTACCGTTGATGGGTCTAAAAAGGAGCCCGAGTACCGAACC